GACTAGGGCCTGATTTCCCAGGACATTTAGGGGCCTTGGAAGTGTGAGAAAAGGGGAAAGAGCCCTTGGGGCCCAGCTGCCCGGGTTTTCTCATGGGTACTAACTGTGCTTAGCTTCCAGGGTGGTATGGAATCAGAGTGGTTTGGAACTAGTCCTGGCTAGAGTCCGGGCTGTCAGCTTACCCTCATAGTTTCGCTTTATCTGTAAAACAGGCCACTAGAAGCTGTTACAACTCCTCCCCAGGTCCTTGAGAAGGTCCAGGAAGCCATGGCTTGGTGACCGGAGGGATATGAATCACTTCCAAACATTGCTTAAACCCCCTCCCTCTCTCCCCAGTCCTTTGAATCCTTATGAGGACTCCAGGGCTGATCATCATGACATCCATTTGAAGGACTAGGAAAGTGAGATGCAGGAGGGCTGAGTCTTCCCCAGGGTCACACAGTCATGATTCCAAGCCTTCTGGCTGAAGAGGGTAGCTCGGGGGGCCCTAGAGCCCCATTCCCATCTGGTCCCACAGCTGGTGCTGAATAATAACCACCTAAGCAGGGGCCTGGAGGTGCTAGCTCAGGTGCATTCTCACAGGATGTCTGTGTGGCCTTGGGTGGTGGTGGGGAGATTTAAATGGGGCCTTGTGGGCTATGAGAACAGGATCTTCATCCATATAGTTGTGTGGAGCCACTGAAAGGTACTAGGTGGGGGGGGGGGCAGGGCACAATCAGAAGAGACCCCTATTTCCAGGAGTGTTCAGAGTGGAAGAGCAAGACGGGATTGCTTTGAGTGCCCCAGGAAGGAGAGAGGGTTGAGGCCTGGGCTAGAGGACCATGGGGCTGGAAGAGAGCAAGATACAGAAGGTAAACCCAGCCTGAGGGGTGGCTACCAACAACACATGGGATTTCCATACCCAGGAGGCCTGGCCTGCTCGGTTCTGAAAGCAGGGCTGAGACAGCAGTGTGGCACCCGAGTCTGGCCCTGGTCCAGGCCTGACTTCCCATGAAGGAAGGGAAGAGGACCAGGATAGGGGAGTGGTAAGGAGGAAAGAAGCCCAGGCTATCCAGGGCTGACCTCTTCCTCAGAGCTAGGGCAGGGGGAGAAACGAGGACAAGGACGAGGCCTGAGTCTCAGCCTGCCACAGACTGCCCAGCTCTGGGGACCTTGCATTACCTTCTGAGAGGGCTGCCCCACAACCCTGTGACCTCCCTGTGAGTCAGCACTGGCCTCAGCACCTGGGAGACTCCAGCTGGGCCAGTCGCAGCATTTTCTCAGCACCAGCCTCCCAGCCTGTCGTCCCCACTGATTCCTGGGACTTATAAAAAAGTAAAACTGGGAAATTCCATCCCATCTAGCTTCTGGAAGTGGCAGGACAGGACAGTGGGCACTGGTGGTACTGAGCTGGAGACCTGTTCCCAGTGTTGAGGTGACAGGGAAGAACAGTGACAGCTCCCTCCCAGTGCTAAGTGCCCAGGACTGCTTAGACCAGCCCACTGCATATCAGAGGGCAAGGGACCAAGACACAGCACAGGCCAGTTCATCGCGCCTTTTTTATTGTCCCCAGCCCCATCCATCTCAGGCCCCCCTAAAATTACAAAACTACCCACACCTCACAGCCCACCCCCTAAGCGGCGGGGTTCAGAGCGGCGAGAAAACTGGACACTCCCCCTCTGACAGCAGCGGCGACACCTTGGGTGCAAGCAGTGCCGGGTCTGGGTGGGGCAGAGGAAGGGGCGCCTGAGCCTTGGCCCTGCCCTTCGCCTCAGGGCCCCTGCCTTTCCCACCCGCGCGCTCCCAGGCCTTACCCGCCGGCGCGTCGGAACGCGGCAGCCCGGGCGCCGGGGCCGCGGGGGCGACGGGGCGGTGATCCTCCAGGTGCAGGGTCATGGCGGGCCGCGAGGCCGTGGAGAAGGCGCACTGCATGCACGAGTAGCGGCCGCGCGTGTGCTCCCACACGATGCGGCTCGAGACCGCGTGCCCTGCGGGCAGGCGGGACCCCGTCAGTCCCCGGCCCCAGCCCGGAGGACCGGTCCACCCTCGAGGACGGTGGACATGGGCGAGGGCGGCTTGGACCTTTCCCCACCTCCCGATCAGCTCCTGGACACCGAGGGTCTGGTCTGGCTGATTCGTTTTCCCTGGGTGTGCTCCCCCCTGAATTGGAGGCACTGAACTTGACTTTTCCGTGTCCCCCACTCCCATCCTCGGAACCACCGTAGGGAGAACTCGTGAACTGGGTGCGAGCTTTACACGGAAACGCCGGCGCAGATGAAGGCGCGAGGGCCGGTAATTTTTAAGGCAAAATCCTGTATTTGGGGCTGGCACTGCTGCCTCCCAGTATCTCTTGGGCCCGGCAGGGCGCAGGACAGCAACCCCCTCCATCCCGCCCTGGTGGTCACCTGCACGCACCTGAGGGCGCGTCGGAGCCGCCCTGGGGTCTTCGCGGGCTGCCGCCCGCACCTGCAGTAAATACGCGGGTTAAGGTCAGAAATCGTAACGAGCCTAGCCCACCCTCTGGCGGCTCTGCCACCACACTCACCTTGGCTCTTTTTCCAGACTGCGGCGCTGGAGGCAGGCGGCCCGGGCGCGGCGGCCAGGAAGGGGCGCAGGCGTGGGGGGCTTAGGCCAAAGGGCGCGGGGTTCAAGTAGGGCAGGAAGGGCCCGGTGGGGGTAGGGGCGGGGGTCGTGT